AATGAAGTTTGCTGCATTGATTGACTTTCTTTCATGAAATATTTCTCTGTAACATGTGCTGCTGTGTGATAGCATTTTATCCACAGCAGAACTTTCAAAATTGGAGTCAAACCCTGTGGCTGCTTTATCAGCTAAGTTTGTGTAATGTTCTAAATCCTTTGTTGTCACTTCAGCAGTATACACAGCATCTTCTCCAGGAGTAGATCTTTTTTTTTTTTTTTTGAGATGGAGTCTCGCTCTGTAGCACTGGCTGGAGTGCAGTGGCGTGATTTTGGCTTACTGCAACCTCTGCCTCTTAGGTCCTGGTTCAAGCAATTCTCCTGCCTCAGCCTCCTGAGTAGCTGGGATTACAGGCACATGCCACCATGCCTAGCTAATTTTTATATTAGAGACGGGGTTTCACCACATTGGCCAGGCTGGTCTTGAACTCCGTTGTGATCCGCCCTCCCAGCCTCCCAAAGTGCTGGGATTACAGGCGTGAGCCACCACACCTGCCCTCCAGGAGTAGATTCTATCTCAAGAAACTACCCATTTGTTTAAGTCTGATCATGAGATTGCAGCAATTCAGTCACATCTTCAGGCTCCACTTCTAATTCTAGGTCTCTTGCTGTTTTCACCACATCTGTAGTTACTTCCTCCAACTGAAGTCTTGGAATTCCTCCAAGCCATCCATGAGGGTTGGAATCAGTTTCTTTGAAACTCCTGTTAATAGTGATATTTTGACCTCCTCTCATGAATCATGATAGTGTTACTGGCATCAATCCTTTCTGTAAGTTTACTTTGCCCAGATCCATCAGAGGAACATAGGTAGCTAGGGCCTTTAAAAAATGTATTTCTTAAATAATACTTGAAAGTTGAAATTACTCCTTGATCCATAGGCTACAAACTGGATGTAGTATTAAGAAAAACATTAATCTTCTTTTACATCCCCATCAGAGGTTTTGGGTGACCAGGTGCACTGTCAATGAGTGTAGTATTTTGAAAAGAATATTTTTTCTGAGCAGTAGTTCTCAACAGAGGGCTTAAAATATTCGGTAAACCATGCAGTAAACAGGTGCACTGTCATCCAAGCTTTGTTGTTCCATTTCTAGAGCACAGGCAGAGTAGATTTAGCATAATTCTTAAGGGCCCTAGGATTTTTGGAATAGTAATTGAGCACTGGCTTCAACATAGCCACCATTGGCTCAGGCCTGCAATTCGAGCACTTTGGGAGGTGGAGGTGGGAAGATTGCTTGAGCCCAGGAGTTCAAGACCAGTGTGGGCAAGCATACAGAGACCCTGTCTGTAAAGGAATTATCAAATTAGCTGGGTATGGTGAAGCATGCCTGTAGTCCCAGCTACGCAGGAGGCTGAGGTGGGAGAATTGCTTGCGCCTGGGAGGTCAAGGTTGCAGTGTGCTATGATAGCTCTGCTGCACTCCTGCCTGGTTGACAGAGCGAGACCCTGTTTCCAAAAATAAGTCACTGGCTGTGTTAGTCCCTAACGAGAGAGTCAGCCTGTCCTTTGAAGCCAGGCATTGACTTAATCTCTCTAGCTATGAGTTCTAGATGACTACTTCTTCCAATAGACAGTTGTTTTGTCTGCACTGAACATGTTGAGTGTAGCCACCTTCATCTGTTATCTTAGCTAGGTCTTCTAGATAACTTGCCACTTCACTTTGCATTTTTGCTATGGAAATGGCTTTTCCTTAAACAGAATCAACCACTGCTAGCTTCAAACATAACTTTTGGTTCCTTACCTCTCCCAGCCTTCATAAAATTGAAGAGAATTAGGGACTTACTCTGGGTTAGGCTATGGCCTAATGGAATGTTGCAACTAGTTTGATCTTCTATGGAGACCACTAAAACTTTCTCCATATCAGAAATAAGGCTGTTTGCTTTTTAAATCATTCTTGTGTTCACTGGAGTAGCACTTCTAGTTTCAGGAACTTTTCAGCCAGAGAATGAGAAGCTAAACAAAAAACAAAAAAACTTTGCCTTTGTGCTCACAGCTTGGCTAATGCAAAAAGCCTTCCCAGCTTTCAACCTGTCTTGGCCTTCAACATGACTTTCTCACTAAGTTTAGTCAGTTCTCGCTTTCAATTTAAATAAAGTAAGAAATGGAGACTCTTCCTTTTAGTTGAACACTTAGATGCAATTGTAGGCTATTAATTAGCCTAATTTCAATCTTCTTTTGTCTCAGGCAATAGGGAGGCCTGAGGAGAGGGAAGAGAAATGGGGAAAGGCTTTTTGGTGGGCATTCAAGACAGACATTTATTGATGAAGTTTACCATCTTTAATGGGCACAGTTCATGACACAAACCCTCAATTTGTAAAAAATGTAACAAGGTATGCCTGTGTTTGGAAATGAGTCAGAGCTTTAAGGAAGGGAAAATTTGCTTTTATTCTCCAGTGAATTAACTTATCTGTGGGTGTCTCTTTACAGATGTGAAGACAAGAGTTGAGCCGCTTTTCTGCCAGTTACCACACATCATGAGCTGAGTGACTGCAGCTTGCCAAATCATTGTGTTTCTGGGTCTGACTAGTTAGCTTAGTTCTTCTCTCACCTAATTTTGAACTAGTAAAGCAAAGTGAGTCATCAGATTTGAGTTACTGTTTAAAAGAAAAATGCTGTTTATTGATGCTGAGGTAATTCAGTTCCTTTCTTCTTACAGAAGTGTTAATTTACTCCCACACTAGAAATGCAGCATCTTTGTGGATACATCTTTTTCACAAGCCTCAAAGGCTCCTTAGATTGGGTCGTTACTAAAAGTACATGAAAACACTCACTCTAGTTTTAAAAATGAAATATTTCTGTAATCGAGGTATATTGATATATTCTAAAGCTAGTAAACTTCCCTAATGTTTAATTGCCCTATAGATGCTTCTCTTGCTGTGGGTTTTCTTGTTAGTGGTCTGAAATAATGATTTTCCTGTTCTATTAATATATAGTGTATTTTACACAAAAAATTAACCTGGCTAATAGTGATTACCAAAATATGTATTAATAATCTTGGCAATTTTTGACATTACCCAATATTTTAGCCTACATGTTTTACATTACTATTCACTTGAAACTCAGCTACTGCAAACTTTTTTTTCTGTAAATGTTACTAAAATATCCTGTGAGCTCTTTTAGAAGGGTTCAGTATTTCAAGACGATTTTTGAGGCAGTTCTAGCCTTTTAAAATATTCTATAGACCTACGGGGTTTAAAAGAACCCCAGTACTAACTAAGCAAATAGGCAAAGACATGTTGGAAATATAGTATGGTACTTGAACTATTCACTATATTGGTGCATCCTGTGTAAATGGAATTATTGGTGCATCCTGTGTAAATGGAAGCTGAGCTTGACACCTGGTGCTTTTAACTAGGGATACAGTCGTCCTTCTCCTGCAAGCACAGCACACCTGTACCTCCAAAGGTGACATTATAGTGAATAGGCTGTTTTCAACACTTGTGCCTTCGGGTGTTCATTGAAGCTTTATGAAAACTACTGATGTTTTCTCAATCTCCTTAAAGTTATGTCCATGCTTTAAAATGTCTCTGTAGGAGAGAAGTGGGGTTTATAATGTTTTTAAATTCTCTAAAGATATCTTTGCTGCTTTCCAGACTTTGAAACTATTAAGCTTCTTAACTGCCTGTTACTGGAAATACTTCTGGGGAAACTTCATGGTTCCACAATATCATTGCTATACAGCTTCACTAGAGTTCTTTGAATCACAGCTGGAAAGAGCTTTGTATTATTTTTTAATTCCCTCCCCAGATATCACTTAGAACTATTATAATAAAGGTGATGGGCAAAAACAACATAAGGAGCCTTTCAGTTATCTTAAGTTGCAGCTAACTCTGTAGTTTCTTTTTTGAGGCCAAATACACTGTATTTTACATTGTCAAAATATAATTTACATTAATCACTATGTTAATGAGTATGTGAAACATTCTTTTGCATTGATGAATTTTGTATCTGCCTCCATTAAAAGCATAACAACCATAGTTGTTGCATGTTATTTGTAAAACTATCTTCACAAAATGTGGTGTTATATAAATGCAGTAACTTGGTTAGGAATACATCTGAGAAACAGCTTGAACATAAAAATATCAGTGTATTTTATGAAATCTTAAATTAGCAAACAGGAATATTAACTTCTATTTTCAGTCTTTTATGAAAACTATTCACATCTATTAAAAAAAACAAAAACAAAACCTATGGGACTTTGAGCTAGTGCCTTTCTACTGGATTCCTCATACTAGATGCATCCAAAAAGGCCCTAGTTTACTTTTTCTCATCATATAGCCACCAGGTGTTTAATACAGTAATATTTACGTGTATAACCTGTAGAGCAGTTATACATGATTAACTTCATACTGTGGATAAGAAAACTCAGAAATTAAACAATTTGGCCTCATGACCTTTAGCTTTCCTAAAGCTTCCTTGAAAAACATCTAGCTCTTAATTATTCCTAGTAAGGAGTTAATATGTATGGAATTAAGCAAGATTGTTAGATTGTTCTAGCATGCCAGTCTAATGTTTAACCTGAAATATCTTGAGACAGTTTAGCATAAGCTCTACTGGTGAATACCACCAGTAGCTCATTTTCTTTTCTTTTTTGAGACGGAGTTAAACTCTGTCACCTGGGCTGGAGTGCAGTGGCATAATCTCAGCTCACTGCAGCCTCCACCTCCTGGGTTCAAGCAATTCTCCAGACTCGACTACATTCAGCTATCTCCCAAGGAGCTGGGGTTACAGACACACACCTCCATGTCCAGCTTTTTGTATTTTTAATAAAGACAGGGTTTTACCATGTTGGCCAGGCTGATCTCGAAATCCTGACCTACGGTGATCTGCCCACCTTGGCCTGCCAAAGTGCTGGGACTGGCCAGCTACCACACCTGGCCAACAGTAGCTCATTTCAACACAAACATGAAAATTTTGTTTTGCCTTAATACAGGCAGAAAGTGCCAAGAGGACCTTTCATTTTATACCCAGGTAGATACTTTTAAATGGAGACAACCACTATATTTGTGTGTTGAAGTTATAACTGGTTCTGTTTTTACCCTTTATTTGGAATACAGTGCAGCATTACAGTTTTGGATCATTACATAAACAGACTTGGTGACACAGTACTGACAAGCACGAACTGAATTCCAGGAGTAAGTGGTTTTCTAGTTCATGGGGGAGAACAGATACGTGCAAGATCTTCTCCAAAGGAGAAGAGAACCATGTTGCTCAGTGAGTCACCAAAGGGCTTTGGCTTCAACTCACTAATAGCTGGAGCGAGTGCCAGTCTTAGTTAACCATCCAAGATTTTCATCACAGCAAATCGAAATCTCTAATTTTTCAAACTAATTATAGGGTAGAAGAGAGAATAGCTCCAGTCTGACTTATAAAATGGTCTAGATGTCTACTGAAGTCTCCTCCATTCATGAGTTGGCAAAATCTTCAGAGTGACTGTTGGAGCAAGGAGCCTTTCATGTGCTCCCAGTTATGATATAGTGCATAGAGGCTGGTAAGCGTAAGTCCTGTCAGACCACCTCGTGCTATCCCTCGAAGGCCACCTGGGAAAGGAAGACAAAAGGAAAATCAAACAGCTGTGTACTGCATAGTACCCTAGCATGGAAGGGCTAAATAAAAAGAAATGGGCTGACAAGGGAGACAAGTGAGACTCCGTCTAAAAAAAAAAAAAAAAAAAAAAAAGCACTGTGAAATAGAGACCTTTTTTTAATTTTTTGAGACCAAGTATCACTCTGTTGTCCAGGCTGGAGTGCAGTGGTGCCATCTTGGCTTACTGCAACCTCCACCTCCCGGGTTCAAGCGACTCTCCTGCCTCAGCCTCCGGAGTAACTGGGATTACAGGCGTGTGCCATCATGCCTGGCTAATTTTTGTAATAGCTATGGTTTTACCATGTTGGTCAGGCTGGGAGAGACCATTTTTAGAACTAAATTAATATTCCATCTCAAAAAGGAGACTGAGTTTTAAAATTAATACAGGAAACCAAGACTTCAGTCCAGGCGATAATTCCCCAAACCACTTGCATAATACATATGGTTTGATGTTTTCAGATTCACAAACTTGTTCCTATGGCAGTTTATTACTGGAGTTCCAACTAGAAAAATCATTTCCTGCTGGTAATACGATTTAGAACTCCACTAGCACTGTCAATGGATTTAAGGTTATAATGTAAACAAGGTGACACCCTATTTGGAAACAGTATTAACAACCTTTGGACTCTGGATGGGTCCTCCAAATATTAACCTTGAAGATTCAAGAAGTAGTGATGGCCAGGTGTGGTGGTTCACATCTGTAATCCCAGCACTTAGGGAGGCTGAGGCAGGCTTGAGCTCAGGAGCTTGAGAACAACCTAGGCAAAACCCTGTCTCTGCAAAAAATAAAAAAATTAGCTCGGTGGGGTAGCATGCACCTATGGTCTCAGCTGGGGAGGCTGAGGTAAGGAGGACTGCTTGAGCCCAGAAGTCAAGGCTGCAGTGAACTGAGATCATGCCACTGCACTCCAGCCTGGGTGACAGAGTGAGACCCTGTCTCCAAAAAAAAAAAAAGGGCAATAATCACACTTTGAGTTAGGTGCTAGTGCCCCCCTCCCCAATTCCTGCACTGATGCATCAATCTCCCACAATAAGTAGTGAGGGACAACTAGCATTAGACTAGTTGAAAAGATTTTCATCACAGCAAATCAAAATCTCTAATTTTTCAAACTAATTATAGGGTAGAAGAGAGAATAGCTCCAGTCTGACTTATAAAATGGTCTAGATGTCTACTGAAGTCTCCTCCATTCATGAGTTGGCAAAATCTTCAGAGTGAAGAATTCAAGAATTAAGACATTGAACTACCTGCCTGAAAATAAGTGAACAGTTTTACATGTGGCAAAAGATTAGCAATAGGGATTTCACTTGCAATGGAGAAACAAAAATGTTTCAATCAGTTACTTAAAAACAGTCCCCAAGTCTAAATAAGAAGCAGCTATAAATAAATATCTAAAAATAGAAAATGCCCTAACTGCTATGGTTTTAAAAAGTCAAGTCTTAAAAACATTAAGTGGCAAAGGGAAACCAAGCGAAGAAACTCCTCAGGAATGGGGGTGCCCAAGGAAGCTTTCTTTCTTTTCTTTTCTTTTTTTTTTGAGACGGAGTTTCACTCTTGTTACCCAGGCTGGAGTGCAATGGCGCGATCTCGGCTCACCGCAACCTCCGCCTCCTGGGTTCAGGCAATTCTCCTGCCTCAACCTCCTGAGTAGCTGGGATTACAGGCACACGCCACCATGCCCAGCTAATTTTTTGTATTTTTTTAGTAGAGACGGGGTTTCACCATGTTGACCAGGATGGTCTCGATCTCTCGACCTCGTGATCCACCCGCCTCGGCCTCCCAAAGTGCTGGGATTACAGGCTTGAGCCACCGCGCCCGGCGACATCACATTTTTTAAGAAAGCTTCCTGCCGGGCACGGTGGCTCAAGCCTGTAATCCCAGCACTTTGGGAGGCCGAGGCGGGTGGATCACGAGGTCGAGAGATCGAGACCATCCTGGTCAACATGGTGAAACCCCGTCTCTACTAAAAAAATACAAAAAATTAGCTGGGCATGGTGGCACGTGCCTGTAATCCCAGCTACTCAGGAGGCTGAGGCAGGAGAATTGCCTGAGCCCAGGAGGCGGAGGTTGCGGTGAGCCGAGATCGCGCCATTGCACTCCAGCCTAGGTAACAAGAGTGAAACTCCGTCTCAAAAAAAAAAAAAAAAAAAAAAAAGTGATGTCCTCATGCAGCTCCATGAGTAGGGATCATAAACTGCAGGTAGCCATGTCTGTACCTACAATGTATTTGTTCCAAGTCATATGTTAGGGAGACAAAGGTAGAACAGACACGTGGGGGTATCTAATGGCCCTCTAGCTCCGTGCCTGTCAATTCTGTGATATTCAGTGATGTTGCTGAATTAGAACACTTCAGAACTAACCATTTCCACAACGAGTGTCCTACCAGATGGCTTCTGCTGATGGATTAAAGGGCCACTCCCCCTCCAGGAATCTCTCCAGTCTGAAGACTTCTGATAGCTGACCTGCTTACACTCCAATGCTAAATGTCATAATTATCTCTCTCAAACAGAAACTGCAGACATTATCTATAAACAGCTGCCAAACGTGTAGAGGGACCAAAAACATTTTTTTAAAACCCAGAAAAACCCCTCTAAAAGTATAATACGAGGTATCTCCTTGAAGTTCACATCATCTCTATGAACCTGCCACATTCAGACCGTAGGCATAGCAGTTTAAACTTCCAACTGTATTCAATGTGGTTGAAAAATAATGATTGGAAAGCAATGCACACTCAAGTTAAAATAATCAGCTCAGTTGTATTAAGGATCAACCTCATGTCTCTGCCTAGTAAGTTAACAAAAAGCTGCAGAGCTGAAAATGAACTATAATTAGACCAAATTCCTAATGTGGAAAAAATAAACAATGAGGCACAGGAGAATAAATGCTAAAGGTGTCTACAACAGCACTGCTATGGCTCAGTTATTAGACCTAATTCCCAGTGAAATAAGGATTCTTCCAAGCAGGTAGCCAAAATGCAGTACTCAAAACTCCATTCTGAATATAAAACCAAGCAACAGCCAAGATGCCCTCACCACTGTTTGTCAACAGAAAAATGATGTAGGGCAGGTAAATGAAAACAGCAATTTTGCAGACACTATTTCCTATGACCACATATTCAACTTCAGATTAACTCCCCCAGACCTATAGTCAATAACGGATCCACAGGACTGTGAAGTCAGGACGTGGCTTTGGAAAGAGCTGCAAAACCACTTCTAGCTAGTTCTTTACTTTGTGTGTTCTAAGAACATGGTATCTATTTGGCCCTTGTGGAAGGATTCTCACATTAGTTCTCAGCTATTAAATAACAAGCTTCCCTGGGAATCCTCTTTGGCATAGGCACTTGGGTAACATAGTGACAATGGGATCTCTATAAGGCTTTAAGATATTTGGGGGCTGGTGTCTCACACTTGTAATCCCAGCACTGTGGGAGACCAAGGTGGGCAGACTGTGTAAGCGCAGGAGTTCAAGACCAGCCTGGGCAACATGGTGAAACCCCATCTCTACAAAAAATAAAAAGAATTAGCTAGGCATGGTGGCACACATCTGTAGTCCCAGATATTTAGGAGGCTGAGGTGAGAGGACAGCATGCTTGAGCCCAGGAGGCAGAGGTTGCAGTGAGCCAAGATCCTGCCACTGCACTTCAGCCTGGGCAACAGAGCCAGGCCTAGTCTCGAAAAATAAAAATAAAATTAAAAGGCCTGGCATGGTGGCTCACGCCTGCAATCCCAGTACTTTGGGAGGTCTAGGCAGGTGGATCACTTGAGGTCAGGAGTTCAAGACCAGCCTGCCCAACATGGTAAAACCCCGTCTGTATTAAATATACAAAAATTAGCCAGGTGTGGTAGTGAGCACCTATAATCCCAGCTACGTGGGGAGGCTGAAGCAGAATTGCTTGAATCTGGGAGGTGGGGTTGTGGTGAGCACGAATGGCACCAACGCACTCTAGCCTGGGCAATACAGCAACTTTGTCTCAAAACAAAAAACAAAAAACAAAAAAAACATATTTGGGATACCAGTAATATATTAAATAATTTACTACCCCCTACTATTTTCTATTTTCTTGCCAAATGAAACAAAAATTTAGTTCAAATCAATGAAGTTACTTCTTAAAAGCTAGAGAGAAAAAAATCATATCCAGCAACAAGACACTAAACATCAGTTTGTACTTATAACTAATCTTTATTCAAGGGTGGCCTTTTACCACATACCAGCCATGTTCTAATTTTGCTTCCATTAATCCCAAAGTTTCCCACTGGTTGATTTGTTTACAAGTTTAAGGGCCTCTACTTAAGGGTTTCTGTACCCAACTAAGCACAGGAAGTTGATAAACAAAGGTACTTGCTTTGAACAGAGTAACCAAATAAGGCCAATGGTCAATCTCTATAAAGTAAAGCAAATATGACTTGTGTTTCAGTTTCACCTCCTATATTTTGGATCCTTATATAGTTCTTCCAGAGTGATAGGCAAGCACCACCTCTTCTATACATGAGAAAATGAGGCCCAGAATCGTTAAGTGCCTTGTTTGTGGGATACAGGGCTGGTTAGTGGCAGAACTAATGCATTCAAATGACAGTAACTTTAGAGTACAGATTAGCATATATCTTTCTAAAAAAGGGCCAGAAAGAAAATATTTTAGGCTTTGAGGGTCAAAGGCTATTATTATGTAGTTACTTACATAACCATTTAAAATGTAACTAAAAAATATAAAACATGGCTGGGCGTGGTGGCTCATGCCTGTAATCCCAGCACTTTGAGAGACCAAGGCGAGTGACGTCAGGAATTCGAGACCAGCCTGACCAACATGGTGAAATCCCGTCTCTACTAAAAATACAAAAATTAGCCGGCGTGATCTCAGTAGGCTGAGGCAGGAGAATCATATGAAGCTGGGAGGCAGAGGTTGCAGTGAGCTGAGATAGCGCCACTGCACTCCATCCTGGATGACAGAGAGAAACTCTG